CCACTCCTACCGCCTTCATGGTGTAGTACAAATGGAGAAGTTGTATGGAAATGAATTGGGGGTTTTAATTTTTTTAATGCATACAATTCATAAATTACTTTAACAAATGTATACAGAAACAATATTTTCAGAGCTGTAAGCAATCAGTTTTCGATTATATTTGGCTTACGAGCGGAGAGATTTCCGTTGCCTCCATTTTGTTTTTTTGTACCTATATTGACCACGAAAAATTGTTATTGTCTGTCTTACACACTGCATTTCCTCCGAAACAGCGAATTAGTACGCGGCTATTAGGATAGTCGAGGAGGTATTCTCGGCTCGCAGCACAATAAGTCAATTCCAATGGATAGTAAAGTGGCCTATCACTAGCGACGTTCTTTCGATGTCCCGCACCTTAACCACTTCCCCCCTAGGCTACTTGGCGTAGTAGGACGGGATTTAGAGATAACTTCACTGTCGAGATATGTCACTCTACTAGAATTGACTTCCTTCACTTGCGAGCTCAAATGCATAGTGTCCGTGGTGAAGACCGGTGCAAAAAAACATAATGGAGGCAATGGCGTACTGTCCGTTGTCAATCTAGGTATAATACAAAATGGTACGTCCATACAGTTCTGAAAATATTGCTTCTGTATACATTTGTTAAACTAATAAAGGAATTGTATGCATTAATAAAAGTAAAACACCGAACTCATTTCCATACAACTTCTCCATTTGTACTATGCAATGAAGGCGATTGGGGGAGTGCTACGGGTCAGGAAATCAAGGGAACTTCGTAGTAAAAGATATGCAACTTTAAAGTCCATTGGAATTGACTTGCTCTGCTTGGGAATACCTCCTTCGCTATCCTAATAGCCGCGTAACGATTCACTGTTTTTAGGCAATTTCGTACTGTCAGTGATTAAGGCAGATAACAAAATGGAGGCAATGCATAATGTCCGTTCTCAAGCCAAGCTTAATTCAAAATAGTGCTTGCATAGAGCTGTGGAAATACTGTTTCTGTATTCAGTTGTTAAACTAATTGAGGAATTAAATGCATAACTAACTCATTTTCATACAACTTCTCCATTTTTACTACGCCATGAAGACGACTGGGGGAGTGACTACGAGACGGTATATTGAAAACAAAAACCTTCACTGTCAAGATGGTCAAGATATTTCACTGTACTGTCCATCGGAATTGACTTGGTCCACTTGGGAGCTGCACTGCAGTGTCCGTTGTGCGGGCCAGTTCAAAAACCAATATGGAGGCAAGGCGTACTTACCGTTGTCAAGGTAGGTACATTTCAAATTGATGCATGTATAGATCTCCGAAAATATTGTCCCCGTATTCAGTTGTTAAAATAATTAAGGAATTATATGCATAATTAAAGTTAAACTCCGAACGTCATTTGCAAAGGGCTATATCAGGTGTACTACGACATGTACACGACTAGGGGCGTGGCTACGGCACAGGAAGTTCAGAAAAATTCGCTATCAAGTTATGCCACTTAACTCTTCACTGGAATTAACTAGCTCCGAATACCCCCCCGGCTGTCCTAATAGCCGCGTACAGATTCCTTGTTTCAGGGTACTGTCCGTTGTCAAATCAGTATAATTCAAAAAGGTACTGCCATACAGGTCTGAAAATATTGTTTCTGTATATATTTGTTGTACTAATTTAGGAATTATATGCATTAATAAAAGTAAAACTCGGAATTCATTTCCATACTTCTGCATGAAGGCGATTGGGGGAGTGGCTACGTGAAGGGTAATGTAAAGAACTACACAGTCAAGATATGCCATTATATTGACCACTGGATTTGGTCCACTTGGGAGCTGCACTGCAGTGTCCATGGTGAACGCCGGCACAGGAAACAAAATAGAGGCAAGGCGTACTTATCATCAAGGCAGGTAGAACTCAAATTGATGCGTCCATAGAGCTCCGAAAATATTGTTTCTCTATTCAGTTGTTAAAAAAATTAAGGAATTATATGCATAATTAAAGTAAAACTCAGAGTATTATTTTCATTGAATTATATCAGGTGCACTACGCCATGTACACGAATGGNCGAATACCTCCACGGCTATCCTGATAGGTGCGTACCAATTCCTTGTTTCAGCTATATACAGAGGCAATGCGTTATATCTGTGGTGAAATGATGCAAAAAAACTAAAATGAAGGCAATGGAGTACTGTCCGTTGTGAAGCCAGGTATAATACAAAACGGTATTTGCACAGCTCTGAAAATATTTTTCTTGTCTACAGTTGTTAAACTAATTGAGGAATTATAAGCATTAATAAAACCAAAACTCCCCAAATCATTTTCACACTTCTCCATGAAGACGACAGGTGGAGTGGCTATGGGAAGAACTCTGCTGTCAAGATATGCTATTTTACTGTCCACTGGAATTCACTTGCGCCGCTTGCCAGAAGCCAAGGATACTACGCATTGTAGGTTGCAAGTGGTGCTTGTCAATTCCAGCGAACAGTAAATTGGCATATCTTGACAACGAAGTTCCTTAACTATTCCGTCGCATACCTCCACCATTCGTGTTCATGGCGAAGTTCTATTAAAACTATGTTCGGAGCTTTTATTTATCATTATACTCAATTAGTTTAACCGAATAAAAAAGCAATATTTTCAGAGCTGTATGGAAGCACCAGTTTGATATACACCTGGCTTGTCCCTGGACACTAATAATGCCTATTAGGATCACCGATTAGGTAGTCACGCCCAACTACCACACGATAGAAACCTTAGTATAATACTTTCGCCTAAAGCCAGATACAAAAACTTTACTATCGAAGTTGTTTTCAAAGATAGTTGCGCGGTAAATAAATGAATCTGTAAAGAGTGTGAGATTTACGAATTTTATCTTTGTGGATGATTCAGAATTTTAACACATTCATAAGCAACCTGCGTCATGCCAAGCTTATAGCTTGTAGGATAAGGTTGGTTATTTTCCACAAACTAATTCATGACTTCATTTTATTAAAATTTAAATTAATTACTGTTTTCAAAGTCTGATACTAAAGACATTTCCACCCAAAATACCAACACTGAGATTTACTGCTAACTTGAAGGGAATGGTGATAGAAGCAACACACACTGAGAACCCAGTTCTGAAATCATATCAGTTCCTGTTCTGGCATGCAGAAGTATTGTGCCATTGATCTTGATGTAAATATACTACCTAACTTCGGGGACAGGCACAAAGATTTATCATGAATACATGATGTCACACATTATTGCTTTCAGACACAGGTTCCAAATTTGTATATAACTTTCTCCTCATACATATACTTACCTTATAACCCGAATACAGCAAACCACAACAGTGCTGGGTAACTTCTCGATAAATCTCAAGACAGGTACACCACAAAGACCTGGTTTAATTTCTTTCATAAATGCGACATCAGATGATTATGCCTTTTTCCAAGTTAATGTTTTTTAAAATGAAAATTGCTTGGCACAAAATTTTAACCCCTCATTAGAGCTAATTTTATGTGACTGACTACAATAATTGTTCAGTGTCCATTACTGAGCCAAAAACCAAAATATATTTCATATAGATGGCTCTTTAATGTTTCTTATTTTGATACAAAAGGCTATAACAGAAACATGACTAGGTCCCAGGAGCTCCTGCAACTAAAGTTACTTGGCCTGTTAGATAATGCATTGTCCCAGGATGATGTAGTTTTGTGGCTCTAAAATGCTTCCATCTCTGCCTTACCATTATTCCACAGTGAATTAAATACCTGAACAAATGCTCATTTGTTGGAATTATATCATGGCTGGCAGACCTGACATACCTAACCAAGGGGAAAAATATTACAGGACAGCCTCATGAAACTTTTACATGTCAAGGTACCACCTACAGAAATTAAGAACAAGGATGAAAATTGAATGAATGTAGGGAACATATTACTTTCAGTCAGTAAAAATACACATATTACTACACAGAAATCACACATTGACAGAGGATGTAAATGGTATCCTCTAATAAGTCCAATAGTTTTAATGATTTCTTATATTTTTCTCAATGTGGGCAGTGGGAATTAGTACTTCAAGGCCTCAAACTGAATATCATGGTTCAGTGGGCAACATTCCTGCTTCTTATTTGGGTGGTCCTGGGCTTCAATTCAGCATGAAGACAAACCATCTGGACTATTATTTTTGTAGTTTTCATCAGTTCCTCCAGGTAAATGTTGAGACAGTACCCTCAAATAAACAATGACCACTTCTTTCCACATACTTTCAAAACTGTCATCCACAGTCACAGTACTGGCTGATGCTATAATCCATGCAGTTGAAAATGTGTTAATGAATTCAAGAATAAATCAACAGAGGCAACTCCCTCCCAATACAATACAACTCAAGAAATCTGTATAGCACAGAAAGTATTTCTTGGTGAGAACAGTTGTGATACTAGGTAGTCCTGTCACAGACCCATGGGTGACTGCGCTTTGCACCAGTACTTACAATGGCATGGTATATAATTCAATGAAAGAGAGTAATGCAGATGGGTGGGGAAATCAAAGCATAAGGCCATCATTCAAACACCAGTAATGACAAAACAATAAACATACCCACCCATATAGTGTCAGTTTCAAATGTCACTGGAATCACAGAGAAACCAATATGATGTTTAAACAGCTGCTTTTTTCATGGAGTGATATTTTTGTCCCATCCAGTTCTGACAAACAGATCTCATGATTTTCTCAGTTCCTCTAGCCAAATTCTATGATATTACATTAAAATAGGGTACGCTATTTAATTTCACATCTTTTCCAGTCCATCATGCATCCTAAGCAACTGAATATGTGATCAGTAAATAAACCACAAATTACAATTATATATAGTAAAAAAATAGCACAAATTACAAACCTATCTGAAAATACAAATATCTTTCTGGACATTATCCATCATCCTGCTTTTATTTAAAACACCACCCTGTTATTTGGATTAATGTATCATTGTTGCAAATTTTCAGATCTTGTGTACTATCTGGAAATGCTTCATTACAGAAACATGGCCTCACAATTTCCAGACACCATGTAATAGAGGCACATAAAATTATTAGTTTACATCATGACAGGATTTTCTCTTTTATATTCATGATCTCCTGCACCACGCTTAATGGCCTAACTGGTCAAGTGACCTACTGCATATAAATTTTTATTTCATCCAAGCAGAAGGACGAATACTTTACCAGGGATATGGTTGCTTTCTTTGTTAATTTCACAATGCACAGCAGCTAAAACTCTGAAAAAAAAGAAAAGAGTAATATGCAAATTATGAAATTAAAGTATTTTCATACAATGACAAAGATGATGACAAATTTGAATTGAGGATCTGAAGCACCCTACTGCAACATTTGCACATTCTTCTAACAGCCATAGCTCCCCCCCCCACACACACACACGCGCGTACGCACCCACACACACACACACATATATATATATATATATAGAGAGAGAGAAAGACAAGAGTAAGGGTGATGACAAGCGGCCTCCGTGGTCTAGGGGTAACGTTCCCACCTCATGACTTAAGGTACGCGGGTTCAAACCAGGTGGAGGTCGTGGAATTTTTAAGGGCGGAAAAATTCAGGGAACAAGCCCTCCGGGAGGGGCTTTAAGCCGTGGGTCCCATGTCGTAGATTTACGGCACGTAAAAGAACCCCATGCCTCTAGGAGGCCTATGAGCTAAATTAGGCCAAAAAGTTTCTAATGCCTCCGATAGATGGGGGAAGTAGTAGGTACCACTGCCAGAAGGAGGGATGACCTCGCTGACAGAAAGGGACTAATTATTAGATACCACTGCCAAGTAGAGGGTAAAAACCTTGCTGGCAGAAAGGGGCTAAAGTATCAGGTACCACTGTAAGAGGAGGGACTAACTTGCTAACAGAAAGGGACTAACTATTAGATACCACTGCCAAGTAGAGGGTAGAAACCTCGCTGGCAGAAAGGGGCTGATAGTGAGCACCAGCATCGGTAGGGGGTGGAGACGGTAGAAATTGAAAGGCGGATGTACAATAGACTATCAGTTGCGGTGCATGGGGAAACCCATCCCCCTCAATACTGAACGGTGATGACACACGGAGCGGTGGCACCGAGTCGGCAGCAGCCTTGGTGATGACACACGGAGCGGTTGTGCCGACTCGGCGGCAGCCTAGTGATAAGGATTCTGCACGTCAATTCGACCGCCGAGTGCGACATACGATGTGAGAGGTAGCATTGCACAGATGGATCTTCATGAGGAACGTATAATACTTCTGTCACTGATTTACTTACGATGGAGACAGAGAAGGAAACATCGGAGAATATGGATTCACCCAATTGTGAGAGATAGGACTTCAAAAGGTCTATTTTACACTTTATTTAATCAAGCACGACAAGATGGAGATAAATTTTATAATTTCATTCGTATGTCGAGCGAATCTTTCAACGAACTGTTAAATATTTTAAAGCAAAAACTGAGAAAGCTAGACACTCTTATGAGAAGCAGTATTCCACCCGAAGAAAAACTGGTGATAACTCTCAGTAAGTACAGAAAACATACACACATAGGTTCAAGTATTTATAAAACAAACTCTATAACAAGTATCTAGCATTTCACATGAAACATTTATGTACTGCAACATTTAAAAAAGACTGGTATCTGAGTCTTCTTCTGGACTGAAACTCGACACACACGTAGCCACGGAATCTGCTGGAGATGGAGCTGCTACTATTGCGTGTGAACAAAATTGTGATGGAGACTGTATTTCAAGCGATGATTGACTGCCACTTTCGTATTGTTGTTTCTTCTGGTACGTTGGAAGAGACGAATCCAAAGAATAAATCTGTTGATGTTGTTGTTGTGGTGGTGATTGAACCAGAAAATTCTGTGCGAAGTATTCCTGCTGTGGGTACTGCACTGGATTTCTTTGCGTGTTCACTGTAAGATACTGTTGCCGCTGTTGATGTTGAGAATGGTCATGAGACATTTCATATTTCAATGCATTGCATTATGTCCACTCTGGCTTTCATATTCAAAGCCCCCGGTAAAGCTTTAAAACTGGGAAGGAGTGATAACAAGAAATGACGATTATCATCATCTTCAGCTATTTCCATTCTCTCTCTGCTTTCTTTATTGCTCTCCAGAGCTTGGAAGATCTTTGCCTCCACTGGATGAAGTTTCCTCTTTTTCCCTAAATGCTGACTTCATGAGGAAACTGTTTGAATGGGAGTTTCAGCTTCACTGGAAGGTTCAGAATTGTTATCTCTGACTTCACCTACTTCCAGATGTAAGGAACTGGTAGTTTTGCACGGTAATACGATATCCTGTAGAAAAGACAGTTGTTCTGCGTACATGTATGGTGTTTTCTTCCCAGCTGCACAACCAGATTTCCCTTTTCTTGCCTGTATTTCTCTGGTATATCTGTCTTGCACGTTTTTCCACTTCTTGTGCAGTACTTCCCGTAGATCAAATAAAAATGTCACTTGAAATGGAATTATTCAGGAGAAATTAATATATTATTAATTTGTGTGTTTCAAAAACTTTCAGGTATCTGGCAACGGGATGCTCCCTGATGGACTTGCACTATACATTCCGAGTGGGAATATCAACAGCAGGGGCCATTGTCAGAGAAGTCTGTGAAGCAATATGGACATGTTTAGCGAATCATGCATTACCTAAGCTCTACACAGAAAAATGGCTGGAAATAGCTGAGGGATATGAAAAGTATGCTAACTTTCCTCATTGTTTAGGCGCAATTGATGGAAAGCACGTGAGAGTTGTGCAACCTCCGAACAGTGGTTCTATGTACTATAACTACAAAAACTATTTCTCCATCGTGTTGTTTGCCATGTGCGATGCTAATTATTTATTTACATACATAGACGTGGGATCATATGGGAAATCAAGTGATTCAGGAATATTCAAAAACTCTAAACTCTTTGAAAAGCTGTCTGATGGTTCATTAGGAATTCCTCCACCAACACAAATTGCAGATTCATCTCTACATTATCTGTATGTCACAGTTGGTGACAAGGCCTTCCCACTGTCAACAAACTTACTTAGACCTTATGGTGGCAGGCATCTAACTGATACCAAGAAAATATTCAACTACAGACTGTCTAGAGCCAGGTGCTATATAGAATGCTCCTTTGGTATTTTAGCAAATAAGTGGAGAATATTTCACAGACCACTAAATGTAGATATTGAATTTTCTGAAGTTTTAATTAAGGCTGCTTGTGTACTACACAATTTTGTACGACAAAGGGATGGAAAACGTGAGGACAACTTCCCACAATGTAGTATGCAGAAGTTAACGTTTGACATGGTAAGCAGAGGAAATCCGAAAGCTGTAAGTGTTAGAGATAAATTTGCTCACTATTTTTCAGAAATTGCTCCATTAGATTGGCAGAATAAGGTCACTGAAGGTTAATTTCGGATTGTATTCGTGACTATCGAGGTCCACCATAATATTTTACTTAAGATATAAACTTACCTAATGTCATCTTCTCTTCTACATTGTGCGTTCAAGTTCTAAGGTCTCCGATTTTTTTTTCTCACACAATAATCATACAAAAAATTTGAAACGTCTGTCACTTTTCAACGTAATATCCCTGCAGTCGTGCACATTTTTCACAACGTTGATGCCATGATTCCATGGCCGCTGCGAACGCTTCTGTAGGAGTCTGTTTTGACCACTGGAAAATTGCTGATGCAACAGCGGATTGAAAAACGGCATCCGTGTCTCATCCATTGTCACAGTTGATGAACAGAAAGTCCCATTCATGCCTTCATCACGTGTCAACATCGCCTGGCAAACTGCCATGCGTGCAGCCTTGTGGTCATCCGCCAGAATTCGTGGCACCCACCTGGAGGACACTTTCCGCATTCACAGGTCTTCATGCAGGATTTTGTGCACAGATCCCATGGAAATGCCAACTTTGGAGGCAATGTTTCCCACACTCAATCGGCGATCCTCCAAAACAACTTTCTCAACTCGTTCGACCATGTTGTCAGACCGGCTGGTGCGAGGCCGAGATTATTTTGGTTCGTTGTCACACGACGTTCGGCCTTCTTTGAACTGTCGCACCCACGAACACACATTTTTCACATTCATGACACCATCACCACACGTCTCACTCAACTGGCGATGAATTTCAATGGGTGTCGCACCACGCAAGTGGAGAAAACGAATGATTACTCGCTCTTCTTGTAACAAAAATGTCGCCATTTTAAGTATCAAAAACACTCCTCACTCTCGCTACTACCACTAGAGTTCTGTGTGCTTTAGAGTGCTGCCATCTCTGTCACGCATTCACAAAGAGTGCACACGTATTTTAAACTAAACCGCATGTGTCTATCTGCTCCCAGTCCTGAGAAAAAAAAATCGGAGACCTTAGAACTTGAACGCCCCTCGTACAGGCGTGTCCTCTTCTGCAAATTTATTCACATTTCTTCCTAAGAAATTTTCCTTTTTGTTTTGTCCATATAATCACAATGCGTCATATCCCATATTGCTGGTTGGGCATGGACCTCACTGATTAATTTTTCGATGTCAATCCTATTCTCCATCATTCTGTCAAGAAACAGCGGAATAAAATAGAAAACTGTTAGTAAATGTTTGTATGCTTTTTGTATTGTATGTAAACAATGTCAAATATTTAATAATAAATTGTTTTATTCCCAAAGTCTACTTATTTGGTTTCATTTTAATACTCTATATATCCTACTTTTCCATGTGTATTATTGAATTTGAAAGGAACTTCATTCCATTACATATACATATTTAAATTTATATGAAATCTAATACAGGAATACTTACCATTGATTCATTCGCTGAGTCAGAAACTGCTGAGAATGTATTCAATCTATGGAGCAAGAGCACGCACGAAGTCTTCAAACCGCTCGCTGCACTGCCAGCAGACGACAGGCCGAGTCGGCAAAAACTGCTCCGTGTGTCATCACACTAAAGCTCTCCCTGTGCATAAATAATTAAGCACTACACCATGAAGGCGCATGGGGATGTATAGATAAACTTTTCTTGACGTCAGCTTCATGCCCCTGCCACTTTACCACAAGGGAAAGAGTCCCCAGTATTAACTGGATAGGAGGTTCGGTGGGCCCCAGAACTGGTCTAGACAACGTGGAGAGAGAAAATTCTTAACTTTACTGGGAGGGACTTGAACTCTGACCCCTTGGTTGTCCAGCCTGTAGCCAGGTGCTACACTGACTACACTATCCTGGCTCCTAGAGACAAGAGTTCAGATGTAAATTTCATTTTTGAGTATTCTCGCTTATATCTGTGATGGGTTTAAGATTTCCTTGCCACAAACATATTACATCCCCAACCCTTCCTGTGTCAGAAGAACATGGAAGTACTAGTCCTCTAACTGCCGAGCAGATCAATTACCATTCTGTTCATTTACCTAATATGGATTCCACCTCACACTATATGAAATCTTAACTATTGTAATCTACTGTAATCTATTGTAAACAATTTTAAGTATTGTAACTTTATTCTCTTATTGTAATCAGCCAATGTACAGTACCTGACTTGTCCTATATCATGTAACAATGATCTATAGAAACGAAATAAATAAAAAAATAATATATTGTTACTTATTATATGTGGTGCAGTCTTGCATATATAACCTTTTCAACAACTTTTGAAAGGCTGTTAATAATGATATAGGTCTGTAGTTAGTCATATTAGTTTTGTTCCACTTTAAATAGTGGTTTTATGTCTGAATATTGCAACCGAGTGGGGAAGACACCAGTTGTAAGGGATCTGTTACAGATATAAGTTAATGGAGAGCTAATGAAAGATGCACTGATTTCTTTAGAATTTTTAGAATGTCTTGCATACACCAAAGTGAGAGAAGTGTACGTCTAGCAACAAACTACTCTGGAAACTGCAGTCATTCAGCTATGAGCTCACATTGTTAATGTTCCTCTTTACTAAATTTCCCCATGTGTTCTTCATAAATGATAAATGAGAGAAATGGATGAATAACATTTCACGGAAAAAGTCTTACTAAGCTCTATAACTATGTTCACATAACTGTGCAAGGTCTTTGTATCACGGATAAGGTACTGAATTTCAATTTAAGACATAATTCTTGCAAATGCTAATTATAGGTGAGCGTTCACACTCCACTCTGTTGCATGTGTGCCACTCTTGTTACTGTGCTGGGAAAACACAAAGATGTCTATATGTGTGAACAGACTCTATACTCACCCTGTACTGCAGTATCTGTGTGAAATGCCCACACATCCGAGTCCTGACTGGTATTCATCAGCAGCCTTGAGACAACATACGAAGGGGGACCCAAAAATAATCGGAAACGACCTGTTGTGTGTGCATGCTTTGTAGTTACGAGTTGTGCTGCTAGGTGGTGTTAGCTGGGGGTCTCCCGTGACTGTTAGCGAGCTGGCATCAGTCTGAGTTAAGTGGTTTGTCTGTGGTGCTCTGTTGTGTGGGTTCCTGTTTCAACCCTTTGGCGATTAGTGAGATGGCTGACCAGAAGGAACAAAGTGTGTGCGTGAAATTTTGCTTTCTGTTAGGGAAAACTGCACTTCACTCTTCAAGTCACGGCAAACATATACACGGTTTTCTCTTTGGTCATATCCGAGCAAGCGAGGAACAAATTTTGCAGACACCTGTCTCATGTGCAAACCTTCGGTTAAAATTCACTGTACCGTGCTCCACGAGATGTTCGTTTCCTCAGAAAGTTGGTCAATGGTCTTTCGACGATCTTCATCAATTTCACGCACACTCTTTGTTCCTTCTGGTCGGCCATCTCACTAATCGCCAAAGGGCTGAAACAGGAACACACACAACAGAGCGCCACAGACAAACCACTTAACTCAGACTGACGCCAGCTCACTAACAGTCGCGGGAGACCCCCGGCTAATACCACCTAGCAGCACAACTCGTAACTACAAAGCATGCGCGCGCAACAGGTCGTTTCCGGTTATTTTTGGGTCCCCCCTCGTATTGACAGGAGAGCACTGTTATGTCCGCAGAGCCTGACAAACAATTCCATTACAATAAGACAACCTAAGTAACACAATGCAATGCTATAGTGGGAGCCCCCCCTCCCCCCAAAAAGGGGGAGGGAGACTAGTGCTAAAGTTTATTTATATTATAAACGTGACTGACTTTCACAGTCTGTCTCTTACATCAAATATATACAGTAACTACACAATGCATAGTGTGCACTTACATGGAGGCAGTAGGTTCCTGCAAGGGCAAACAGTAGCGTAGTTGCTTACGGCACTATGCTACAAACTGGAAAGTCACGGGTTTGTCACTGGATTTTTCAACTGACCTAACACTTCCAGCCTCAGTATGGCCCTAAAAGGCTGACTCAGCCTCTAACAGACATGAGTACCAGGAAGATTGCTGGGGAGTAAAGATGGCCAGCACTTAAGGCTGACAACCTCACTGCCATCTGTAAGCCGACTGTCTAGAAAATGTGGAAGCCTCAATGTCTCATGACCCTATGGGGCTCCATGGCCTGTTACATGGAAAGCTTTACCTTTACCTTATTTGCACCAGAAGGTTTCTGCGAAGTGATGGTAATGACCATACCTGAAGAAGAATATTCTAAAAAATGGGTAACTAATTTGGAAGGATGTGTATGGAACAGTAACCAAGCAAGGATATGGAGAATCAGGTGCCTGGATTCTGTGATTAGAAGTGATCAAACAAGGGTGGGTAAGAAAATTCTGAAAGTAAGCCAGATGGTGGAAGAAAAGTGAAAAGGCTTGATTGTGATGGCTGGTAGACAGAATAATTTATGAGCTGAAAATGAACTTTCTTGTATCTGCTCTAGAAAGGAGGACTACATAACAAAGTATATTTATGGTGGATCTGTGTTGTATGCAATACTATTTTAAACAATATTTTCTATAACAGCATTTTTATATTTTATGGCTTTAGCTCTGACATAACATATTGATTAAAAATTTATCATTTCAATATAAAGTTCACACATTTCATGTTACGCCTGACAATAAAGTTGACTGTTTAAATATTCAGTGACTAACATGAGCATGCACACACAAGGACATTTTCAAACTTGCCTCATCTGTAACTTAAAAATAAATATCATGACATGGTGGGCTTATGTCAATGAACTGTACTGTCACGCAGATAATCACAAGTTCAATCCCAGATGGATTCTGGCTCAAAATTTTTATATGTAAGAATTAAAATGTAATTTTTTCCTCAAATAATCTTAAAATCGTTGAACAACATATATGTCTTAGACTGTGCAGCTGATGTAATCAGTAGTTATATGAATCCATTTACTAGGCTGGAGGCATGTTACAATTTCAACCACACTGCTTTGTTTTTCCTCTTAATTCAACCACTGCCAAAGCACAGTGAATTCTGTAAAATGTTATGATAAACTCTCTCAGCCAAAATCCATAAAGCAGATGTTCCATTACAGTGATATTTTATCACAGGCAATTTCTCATGAAGGTTTAATTATTTGGCGTACTTTCCTCTAACTTTTCCAAAACTGCAAACTTATAAGAGAAATACAAAATGAAGCCTCTTTACGACTAAGTCTCTCTCTTCATTATGTGAGCAAGATTTTGTGACTATTATTAGCCATGCTCATGTTTTTATTATGTACTGACCAAAACTAAATAATTTTAAATTTCCCTGCTATTATTAAAAAAAAATAAGTAACATACACAGCCAACTAACTGCACACATGTAGAGCTACAATAGTGCAACATATGGAAAATAAAAACGAAAAAGGTTAAATATTAATATACAAACATGCTCTGGGGGCACTGCCTGCTGTTCACCCCTCCTTTGTAATGTTAGGCGGATATTTTTCCTTAAACAACGCAGAAACAGAAGTGAGTTCTGAGCTGTGCCCTTAAAAATAAACTTCTCATGTCAGGCAGGATGATGTGTGACTTGTTCTACTGGCGTCTCCACAAACTACAGATTCACTGGCTCATAAAATAAACTGACTACTTCATCTAGAAAATTCCAAACGTCCCTGTACACTGGCTTTTCAGTCTCATTATTCCATCAATAAGATATCTGGATATAACAAACTTTGCAAATTTCACATAAACGTTTCTTCCTCATTCAGAACGGCACTGAAATATACAATAACATTTCATGTGCTACTCTTGGAATTGAATAAATATGTTTCAGCTCCACATGAAACAACGGCTTGCAATCGTCATAAATACCCATTCAGTTTTAATATCGTACCATCCTCAATGTATTAATGTCATGACACTACAAGTTCTACACTAATTTCTTCCTGTTTGAACTGACTCCTGCAGTTCAGTAATTTTTTATCGCTAACATGTAGGACTCTGCAACCACGGCAAATTTAATATTGTAATTAATTAAAATAATAATGTTAAAACCATGCATCAGAGTAAAGTTTCTTAATTTATCGACATAAAAGCTCCATTTTTAACTTACCATATCCTACAACTACAACACACTAACACGCCTTACGCTTCCAACGTTCAACTGTTCCAGTTTAGTTTCTGATTATCTACCTACAGGTAGAGGCACCAGTTTACTCTCTGACGCTTACTCTGGCATACGTGTCGCCCCGCGATTTTCGAATATCTCTTAACTCTCAGAGCATACTACGTATTCATATTTTGTATAACTATTTTTTTCTTTTTTTGATAAATTTAGGAATTTTTGGTATGAAATAATAGACGCCTTGCACAAATCTTGTTTTCTCTAGCCCTAAGATCTCTGTAACTGACTGGGAATTCTTCTTTGCTGCTCTCAGGTTAAATGTTTATCATTGTTTCTCTTTGGTCCTTGTAGTTTTGAATCCCAGACGGTATTTTCCTCCATTTGCAGCCTGTCGCCACATTCTCATTCAGGCGTGAAGAGAATGTTAAATCTACTTAAGCGTGCTTTAAGACTGCAGTTGCCTACTTTCATGAAGTTTCACATGAATGCACGACAGTTCATTTTTACCTCGGGGGAACCACAGAGACGAGCCCTTCCTGCATTACCTTACAAAGTAGCTTATTCCTCTATTTCTTTTGGTGTTTTGGGAGAAACTGTGAAGCTCCTCTTTACCAATTCCTTACTTCTAAATGTCGACTCTCCACTCGTATCTTTGGCTCTCATCTTATGTCTGGCTGTGTTAATGACCTGGTAAGGTGTGGGGTGTTTGTTATGATTATCCAAGTTAAGCTGTTGCATCCAATTTTCTAACTCAATATCCTCGGGTACATCTTTAATGACTCCCGTTTTGTTAACTATATATCTTGGAATGCATAAGTTAGCCCTTCATTTTGAATGACAGGTCTGTTCATAACTTTATTTGCTTCCATTATCTCCAAGAAGGTCACGTCCCAAATAAACCGAGCATATAGTCTAATACAGTGTGGTCCAACCTTTAGTTACCCGAGGGCCAATCAAATTTTTGTATAGGAAAGTGAGGGCCAGAGACATTAAAGAAAGAAAACGAATTACATATAACTCACTAGTTTAATATTGTTGGTAATTGGGTTAATAATTACGCAGAGTTAACTATTGCACAGTAAAAGTATATTTGTAATCAGAGTTAAGAGCATGCCAACACACATCACTTCACAAGAAGCCATTTTTCTTCCCGCTCTTGCCCAAACACTGAACAGCAAAAACCAAAGAATAATTCATACATGTTGCCAACTTTCAACTTGACCACTCATCACCCTTCCTCAAGTTCAAATTCCTGGTAATCAGTAACCAGTTACCATCTTACTCATAGAGCGAAAACAGTTAAACTTTTCATAACTTAAACCCTTTGTCAAAATATCAGCAATCTGATGTGTCGTGGGAACATATTGTACATCAATACTCTTGTTCATGTAACAATCTCTTACAAAATTATACTTCACATCAACATGTTTCAATCTTTTATGCTCCCATCGACTTAGTAACGCAATACATGATTGATTATCTTCATATATTACTGGTTCAATATCACAAATCTGAAAGTCGACTAATAAACCTTTCATCCACAACACCTCGGTAACAGCACTTGCTAATGCAACATATTCAGCTTCTGTAGAAGATAGGGCTACTGTATTCTGTTTTCTTGTCACCCAACCAACACAATTTCCATAAACCTGAATTAAGAAACCAGAAATAGATTTCCTATCATAATCATTTGCCCAATCTGCATCCACGTAACTTACCAAGGGTTTCTTGGTGTTTACATCATACAGCAGCCCTATATCCGCTGTGCCTTTCAAGTATCTCAATATTCTTTTCAATCCTAACCATTGTGCTTCAGTGGCATTACTTTGGTAACAACTGTAAAAATTAATCGCTGAACTTAAGTCCGGC